GCATGCTTTTGTATGCACTGCGTGCGTGCGTCGGCTTCCGTGGGCGTCGCGCGTGCGCTCAGAAGTCTTACTGTATAAGCTCCGTGGCGGGCGCTTTCCGGCTATGCAGCCATGCAGTTAAAGACCACTCTGGGCTCAGGAGGGGCTCTGCTTTTCGGGCCGTTCCTTAGACTTAGGTCGGGGAGACTATCAGATTGGATGCCTGCGGGGATCTCTTGGGAGGCCTCTCGGAAGCCTCTTGGAGGCGGTTTTGGGGGTGTCTTGGGGTAATGTGTTTGGGTCGGACATGCGCCTCCAGCAGAAGCACGTAGTAGTGTATGCCATTCTGCGTCCAAAGTTATTTGCACGCGGAGGGCACGGCGAAGCCATAGATCTCTCATGCTGTGATTGCGTGGGGCCTTTCTGTGAGTGGCCTGGGGTATTGTGTCGGAGGGCCCTGAGGGAGGTTTCGCGAGTCTCCCGCGGCTTTCGGGAGCCCAGAACCCTCTTTGGCGAGGGCTCCCAATAGTACGAATGCACCGATCGGCTTTCTTCTGTGGGCCACTTGATGATTCATGATCCGAGGGTTCAGAGCATGCTAACTGGTAGACTGTCGACAGTTTTCGCAAGACCTCTGTTGTCTTGAGCTTTTCCCAGTATCCTGAGTATGGGATACTTGTTACTGGCGTGACGCCCCCGCTTTCTTCACTCACCCACCTCCTTGCCTTGCCGCCGCTTTGGCCCGCTCGCGTCAAGATTGTGGGGATGCCTCAAGCGAAACGCTTGTTTTTGTCAAGACCACGGGGATGTCTCAAACGAAACGCTTGTTTTTGGAGGTGGACGTGACTCCCATGATTACAGCGGTGTAGCCGGTGTTCCATTTGGGCCGCCCAGGGGGGGGCGGCCGCCGGGGGACCTTGCACGGACCCGGTCGCGCTCGGATAGTGCGGATGTCTTGAGCGAGCCGCTTGTTTTGCAGGCAGACGTGTTTTTGTGATCGTTCTTTCATGCATTGTTTTGCCGATCGGCGCGGGCCCCCCAACCCCCCCTCCCCCCCCGTGGAGTAGATCTTTGCTGTCTTTCGTCGCCTGTTTCGAGCAGGTGGAGCCTCCCCCATTCTGCACGCACGAGATGGGCACGGAAAGAATGGGTACAATGCCCAACAGCAGTTTCTGTTTATTTTGAACAGGACTCGCTGTCCGCGCCGCCGCGGCCTGTGTCCATTTGAAACAGAAGGCCGCCTGCCCAACAGTGGCCGCTGTTGGTTTGGGACAACATTTGTTGTTGGGCATTGTACCCATTCTTTCCGTGCCCATTTCGGGCGTCCAAACCCATGTGTCGCACTCATGCAAACAGTCGACCACTTTTGTCATGGCCCCGTGATCACCGCAATGTGGCAGGCACTCCACTGGGGAGAGGAACCGCCAGGGGTGCACTGCACTGGCCCCGTTCGCTCCCAGAGTGCGGGGATGTCTCGAGCGAAGCGCTCGTTTCTGGAGGCTGGTGTGCTTCTTCTCGTGGCCCTAAGGCCACCTCGACGTGGCGGAGGTAGACGTGCTTCCTTCCAGAGCTCCACGATCACCGTGGTGTTGCAGGCGGGGGTATTGCACGGGCCCGCTCGCACCCAGATGACGGGAGGGCCTCGATTGCGAAACTTAGTTGTTTTTTTTGGGGGGGGGTAGGCGCGCTTCAGTGAAGAACCCTATGACCACCGCAACCCAGCAAGCATGGCATTCGGGCCAGTCGAGAGGAAGGCGGCCCGCGGTGCACCACGGGCCTCGCGGCCAGCTCCTGCGCAGAGGACGCGCTCACAGGCAGACAGCCGTGCGCAGGGGACTCCCAGGACAACGGGTGCACAGAAAGGGAGCTTCGCCTCCAACATTTGATTCGACGCTTCAGCCCTGGACCTTTCGACCCCTTCCTGGGACAACCAGTTTTTGGTCTCAAGTCGGGCCTGTCCCTCTACAGGGGGAATACTCAAAACTAGAACCATCGCGCGCGCTTCGCGCGCGCTGAAGTTCTAGCGAGCTTCTCGGAGCATCCTGGAATGCTTCTTGAAGTCGTCATGGGACCTTCTTGGCATGTCTTTGGGGGCCTCTTAGAAAGAGTTATGAAGCCCTTTGGGTGCCGCCTTGGGGCCTCTTGGGGCCTCTTGGAGCCTCTTTTGAGCTTCTTGGGGGCCTCTTGGGGCCTCTTGTGGGCCTCTTGGGGCCTCTCTGGGGGCATCTTGGGGCCTCTTGGGGGCATCTTGGGGCGGAGAGCTTGATTTTTCGGTTCGCGTTCTCTCTCTTGTGCCCCTTTTGGGGCCTTCTTGGGACCCTCTTGCGCCGTCTTGGGCGGCTCTGGGGCCGTCTCGAGGCTCTCTCGGGCAGTCTTGAGGGGGCTCTCGGGCCGTCTTGAGGGTCTCTTGGGGGCCACTTGGGCCGTCTTGGAGCGGTTTTGGGAGCCTCTTGGGCGGTGCTTCAGCGCCGGAAACACGAAACAGCGAGAATGCAAGAAACAATAAAAAACAATCACAATCAACGAGTTTGCCCCCTCGGGGCGGCTCTTGGGCGGCATCTTAAAGGTCTCTTGGGGCGTCTTGGGGGCCTCCGGGGCAGTTTAAAACGCATCGTGCGTCGCCAGGGACCCCTGGACGGCGTCTTGGGGTGTCTCGAGACCGTCTGGGGCCGCTGGGATTGCTGTCTGAGGGCTCCCTAGGGCGATTTTAGGCCTCCCAGAGGCGGGCCCAGGCCCCGGGCCCCACATTTGTGGTCGAGGCTCCGGCCCCCGGCCCCAGGACCTGGTCCCCCGTTAGATGTATAAAAGTCAAACATCGTCAGGGGACGATTGTTTGATTATTTTTGTCTATTTAGGGCATTTTTTGTCAATTTTCGATTTTGCATCCAAAATCCCCCTGTAGGGGGACACGCCCGACCTAATTTTACAGTCCTGGGCCAGTGTTCGAGGAACTCCTGCCTCGATTTTCTCTAGACGTTGGATGTGCGAGGGCCGGGGTGTCAAGCATCGCTTCCAGGACCCGACGTGGGATGAGTTCTGACGAGGTTCTCGAGGCGCATCCGGCCGTGGCCACGAGGGCGCCTCAAGAGGCCCGCGACGCCCCAGCAATGTCGAGAAGCCTCGATCCTCGACTCCTCCATGCGTTGATTCCCGTCACGGCAGAACTTGCAATTCTTGACACTTCGCGTGTTGCCACCAGCCCGTAGCCCTTTGGCTCAAGGAAGCCAATTCTGGCCCAGGGAGCCCTCAAGCTGGTATGCGGGATATCGGTCGAGGGTCCCGAGAAGGCGCTGTTTCCCTCGAAGCGTCGATCAAGAACTGCGGTCGGACAAAACAATTGGGCGCAGCACTGCGCTTGCTCCGCGAAGGATTTCGACTAGGTGTGCAACTCGTCCCAAGTCACTACGTTGCGACTATCTGCACATGCAGACAAGGCGGGCAATGGCAACACGCGCTGTCAGTGTTCAGAGAGATGCGGGAGGCGAAGCTGGAGCCCAACGTCATCAGCTACAGCGCTGGGATCAGCGCGTGCGCCAAGGGCAAGCAGTGGAAGCGGGCGCTGGCGCTGCTGAGCGAGATGTGGGAGGCGAAGCTGGAGCCCGACGTTATCAGTTACAGCGCTGGGATAAGCGCGTGCGAGAAGGGCGAGCAGTGGCAGTGCGCGCTGGCGCTGCTGCGCGAGATGTGGGAGGCGAAGCTGGAGCCCAATGTCATCAGCTACAGCGCTGGGATCAGCGCGTGCGAGAAGGGCGAGCAGTGGCAGCGGGCACTGGCGCTGTTGAGCAGGATGCGGGAGGCGAAGCAGGATCCCGACGTCTTCAGCTACAATGCTGGGATCAGCGCGTGTGGGAAGTGCATGCAGTGGCAGCGGGCACTTGCGCTGCTGAGCGAGATGTGCGGGGCGACGCTGGAGCCCAACTTCATGAGCTACGGCGCTGGGATCAGCGCGTGCGAGAAGGGCGCGCAGTGGCAGCGGGCACTGGCGCTGCTGAGCGCGATGTGGGAGGGGAAGCTGGAGCCCAACGTGATGACCTACAGCGCTGGGATAAGCGCGTGCGAGAAGGGCGAGCAGTGGCAGCGGGCGCTGGGGCTGCTGAGCGACATGTGGGGGGCGAAGCTCGAGCCCGACGTCATCAGCCACAATGCTGGGATCAGCGCATGCGGGAAGGGCATGCAGTGGCAGCGGGCACTGGCGCTGCTGAGCGACATGTGGGGGGCGAAGCTGGTGCCCGACGTCATCAGCTACAGCGCTGGGATCAGCGCGTGCGAGAAGGGCACGCAGTGGCAGCGGGCGCTGGCGCTGCTGCGCGAGATGCGGGAGGCGAAGCTGGAGACCAACGTCATCAGCTACAATGCTGGGATCAGCGCGTGTGGGAAGTGCATGCAGTGGCAGCGGGCACTTGCGCTGCTGAGCGAGATGTGCGGGGCGACGCTGGAGCCCAACTTCATGAGCTACGGCGCTGGGATCAGCGCGTGCGAGAAGGGCGCGCAGTGGCAGCGGGCACTGGCGCTGCTGAGCGAGATACGGGAGGCGAAGCTGAAGCCCAACGTCATGAGCTACAGCGCTGGGATCAGCGCGTGCGAGAAAGGCGAGCAGTGGCAGCGGGCACTGGCGCTGCTGGACGAGATGTGGGAGTCGACGTTGGAGCCCAACGTCGTGACCTACAGCGCTGGGATCAGCGCGTGCGAGAAGGGCACGCAGTGGCAGCGGGCACTGGCGCTGCTGAGGGAGATGCGGGAGGTGAAGCTGGAGCCCGACTTCATGAGCTTCAGCGCTGGGATCAGCGCGTGCGAGAAAGGCAAGCATTGGCAGCGGGCGCTGGCGCTGCTGAGCGAGATGTGGGTGGCGAAGCTGGTGCCCGACGTCATGAGCTACAGCGCGGGGATCAGCGCGTGCGAGAAGGGCGAGCAGTGGCAGCGGGCGCTGGCGCTGCTGAGCGAGATGCGGGAGGCGAAGCTGGAGATCAACGTCATCTCTACTACATTGCAGGGGCACGTGCGTGCGGGAAGGGCGCAGGCTC